CCTTTGCTATGTTGAAAGCAACATTTCGGGACAACGTCAGTCGGATAACTCCGAGGGCTTGTCAGTCGAGAAGAGCCCAGTCTTCATTCTTCATGCCCTCTGGTTGCTTTCCTGAGAGAGGTTGATATAGATTTTTATGGTATAGAAAATCTTCAATTTGCATCTTCCAAAAGCCAAAATCCGCACAATCAAACTTCTCAATTTTCACATTCTCTTCGTCTGCAGCCATCGCTCCCACTCGAATCTGGTTTCGTTTGGATCGTTTCTGACAATTTCTGTGAACCACCGTGTATTAGAACACCTCTGTCGACAAATTCGTATTGCCGAAATTTTTTTACTATTCACAAAATTCACTATTCATATGAATAGTAATGAATAGTAACCTCACAGAAAAACTGATAAAATTCACCACCAAAAGCTTTGATACCAGTTGTTGGGAAATAAACGAATAATTTCCCTGTAACCATATTAGTGAGAATGCGAAAAGCGAAAAAATAATACCGAAAATTGATAACGGAGTTCAACCAATTATGTCTACGTCTCCGGACTACTGCAGATCTTTTACTAAAGAGAGAAAATTTACAGGTATTTACAAAACACTCACAACTCACAAGAAAACTCTCTAAACTCTTTAGTAGTGGAAGAAAGAAATGATTTGAGATGATTTTGAAGCTAAATGAGTTAGAGTATTTATAGTTGAAGCTTAAGGATTAATCTTGTAAATACCCTAAAGGGTGCAGGGACTAAAATGTAATTAACCCTATTACATTTTCAATAAAAAAATTGGGGCCTCGAATTCTTGAAAAGCATAGACGGTGCCCTCTTTGTTGAATTCCAAAGCCCCCAATTTTGACTTCCCCAAAGCCTCCAATTTTGACTTCCAACAATATATTGTTTTTCCACGGATGAGACATCTTAACTCTTTCAGTTGGCTTTTAGAGTGATAAAAGGTGAAAATAGAAGAATTTCAATATCCCTAGCTAATAGAGAATGTAACTCAACACCCTTGGAGAAACTCGATTAGTTGATGGAGGCATCTTTGTTATGATAAAAGCATTAGAGAGATTTTATTTATCCCAACTAAAACAAAGGCATTCCCAACGCTCATAGTAACAATGAAAGAAGCTCAATTGCTGAGAGAAGGCATTTGGCACTCTTGGATAAACCTATAGAGCTGTGATAACTAAATTGTAGGACCACTTCTCTCGACAAGAGTTACATGAAGGCATCTTGATGTTTTTGGATGAAGGCTTCTCGACGCCCTATGTCGTGATAATTGAATAATTCTTACTTCTAGGATGAAGGCATCCTATCTCTTTTAGTTGGTATTAGGAAGAGTTCATATAATAGAAGAGGCATTTTGATCTTTCAATCGGTTTAGATGAGGCAGCTCAGTTTTTGACAACGCACAATAAGTATTGCTAAGGCATCTTTACGCCTTTGAATTCTACATGTGTGACCAAGACATCTTTACCTTGGTAGAAGTGAAGCGTTGGAATACCTCTCACCAAGGAAATGGACATCTTGTTAAGGCACAATAGAATTACTCCTATTGTTAGAGAGGAAGCTCTTCTTCCTCTTGGGTGGTTTCCATAAGCCATAAGCTTGAGGTGAAGGCTTTATAGACCCTTTGTGGAGGTAACTCGATGGTATCCGAAAGTGAAAGAATCTTCATTTTCTTAGGATAACGAAAACAATTGAACTCATCTGGTTGATTAATACGTAGGTAACTCAACGTATTAAGCCAAAGAAATTGCATCTCCAATATGACAATATAGGAAGGCATCTCAACGCTATGATATGCCAGGGGATAATATAAATACGAATTTAGAGATAATTGAGTACGTACCTTTTAATTGAAATGAAAAAAAGGAATGATTCCGGTGCTCGTTTATTAATTGGAACATTTTTTGAATAACTTTTTTAAGATGACGAGCATTCTAGGTGAGAAGGATTTCTTTTCCTACCACATCTTTTGTTTTATATGTTCTTAAGTTGATTTCTTTTATGATTTTGTATGTGCCTTGCGAATTGGGCACCATTTTTCCTCTTTGTCCAATGGGTACGCTTGCCTCAATATTCCCCATTACTAGATCTCCCATTTGGTATTACCTATTTCGGACCCAAGAATTGTAGTATTTTGTGACTTCCTGATTTTGTATGGCTATCTTGACTTCTATTGCTTCTCTTCTTTCCTCTAATAAGTTAAGTTAGTTCGGAGCATTTCCTCATTGCTATCGGCAGGGATGAATCGAGGGGATGTTGAGGTGTGGTCGCATCCCCCTAGAATTTTTAAATTTTCTTATATTTTAATTTTTTTTGTATTTTCTATTGATTATCTAATTTTGCACCCTAAAATTTTTACTATAAATTCTTAATTTTGCACTCGACTTAAATTTCTACATTCGTTCCTGACTATCGAGATTGTGGCTATCGAGATTGTAGTGAGAAGTGCGAAAAGAAATTATTCCTACCTTGACCAGGATGACTACCTCAGTACCATATAGCAGATTGAAGTTTCTCTCGTACCTATATAAGAGATTATTTAGAGTGCCTAGAGGATTCCTTAGTATTTTCTTATTGACGGCCACTATTTGACCATTAGTTTATAGGGGTTTTGACAGATGTCTTTGAGGGTATGATTTTTAGGCATTGACATAATTCCTCAAATTTACCTTGAAACTGATCTCCATTGTCGACAACCAACACATATGGTAGACCAAACTTGCAGATGATATTTTTTCGTACAAAGTTTTCCACCTAGTTTTATATGATAGTGGTTAGGGTCTCAACTTCTGTCTATTTAATGACGTATTCAATAGCCATAACGATGATTTTTTTCCTTCCATGGCATCCGCTAAGGGTGTCGAATGTTGTGCAATTCATGAGCAGTTCAAATTCGATTCGATCAAAGTTTGATTTAGGTTAATTTAATTTGAATTTGACTCGATGACTTAATGAGTTAAGTCAAGTTAAGTCTAACTTGACTTGATAAGTCCAGCTCGTTATAATTTTAATAATTTTTAATAGTTATCTTAAAAATTATTTTATTCAAAAAATTATTAATTTATTAATAGAAAAAAAATGATGAACTACTAATCAATATAGCATTAATAGATTTTACTTATAGTTAAAAATGTAAGGTAAAAATTCCGATGAGTTTAACGAGCACGAATCAAACAAAATTTTAATAAACTTAACGATCAACAAATCGAGTCAGATAACAAGATCATTAAAGAAACACAAATTAAACATTATCTAACTCATAATCAACTCGCTCAACACCTAATTCCACTCCTACATAGCGAAGAACCAAGTGGTAAGACACTCAACTGGTGTCTTGGGTAATGGGGATATTTCTAGCAGGCTTCACATCTAACTTTAGTATTTTTATTACTGTAACATGCCATTGTTACTGATTTTGAAATCATGTTGTCATGTCAGACTATTTTTGTTTCCTTTCATACTATTTTTGTTTGCATTGTGATTGAGAGGAAGCTACCCACACCTTTATTTGGGCTTTCTACATGTATTGCTATTTGGGCTTTGTACTGAATCTGATATGTATGTATGTTCAGTTGGTTTCGTTATTGTATACGCTATACATGTTTATTCTCTTAGGCTTTAAATTCTATGACGTCGTCTATTAATCTATTTGGTTGTGTGTACGTGTTAATTCTTCGATGACTGCATATCATGTTATGCATTGTTTCTTCACTACTTTGATATTCTATTTATTTTTTCGTACCTTTAGATAATTTGATTTTTTTTAACTCATTCCTCAGTTGTCTTCCCTTTATCAGGAGATCCATGTCGTAAGAGGCTAAGTTCGACAATTGTAAGATCTGAATTTCAATTTTTACACTTAAAAGTAATAATTTTAATTTCTTTATTTTTGTTTTAAACGGTGACATGAGATGGTAAACTGGTTTGTATGCATACTTGATATTTTTAAAATGAATTTATTACATATCTGTTGTAATTCGATATGGATTACCCTCATGGTCAATGGGACTTTCGATAATATGTCATAATGATTGGGCTGCATTGGGGGGCTATAATTTAATTTAAAATTTTCATGATGATATGTCATCACTTGATTCACTAATGGTGTATACATAGGGATAGGAATTTAACTCGAGTATGGTGGGTTTCGACCGGACCTAATTCGATAGAGTTTGACTTTTTTTTAAAAATTTGTATTCGGATCGGGTCAAAATTTTAAAGAATGAAATCGGGTTGGGTTTGATTTGTGCTCTAAAATTTTGAGTCGAGTCGAAATCAAGTGGAATATATATATATTTTTTGGATCGGACCAGATGGAGGATATATAATTTTTTAGTCGAGTTAACAAAAGACATGACCCTAACCCAACCCGTTTTCATCCCTATGTATACGATGACATGTCATCAAGAATGAAATTAAAAGAATTTAATTTTAAGATTTTATGATAACATGTTATCATTTAATTTAGAGTAAATTATACGTTTAGCAATTAAACTATTATTTGTATTCTATTTTGATATCTATATTTTATTTGTATTAAAATCATACCTAACATTTATTTTAGGTTTCATTTTGATATTCTATTATTAAAATCTTAATAGTGACATTGACATGTCACCACAAAGTAATATCACATTATCATTTAAAGAGATAAAAATGTCACATCAATTGTTCTGTTAATTTTTTTTAATGTCGAGTACCAAATTAAAACTTGAACTAAATGCTAAAAATGATTTTGAAAAAAAAAAAGTTTGGGTAAAAATATTACAAAAGTAATAGTGTACGTACTAAATGTGTAGTTTATCTTAAAAATGTTAATGGAACATAAAATAAGTGAATTAGATATGAATCCTTTTAACTCTATCTAAATTCTTCCACCAAGAAATTCCCATTTCTATTTTAATCATAATCACCATGAATCAATTCTAAAGAAAACACCATGAATCATGAAACTAACGTAAAATCTGAACTATGAAAACTTTACAATCAAGTATTTAATTAACCCTCAACCCACAATTGACACGTCCTATCAACAAGAAGCTCAAAATTTTGCAAACAAAAAGTAAAAACAAATTAACAGTGAATCCGATTCCAGTTGAAGGAATACGTGAAGGAAGAGCACATTCTTCACCATTGAAATACACCCTCGATGGAAATCCATATCCTTTGGCAATATCCAGCACCCCCTTCTTTTTAAACGTGATTACAGATTGCAGTTTCCCAGGCACATCGGGATCTTCTTTTGGATCGGAACCATTAGTCAGTCCAATCAAATAATTCATCCCTTCAATCCCTTGTACGAAGATAGTGTGGTTGAGTTTACTGAGAAACGTTCCATTGAAAGAGTACATCCTTTCGTACCCAGAACCAGCTTTCTTGAACTGAAGTGCAGTGAACCAGTTCTCGAAATTCAATCTTCTCCAGTTGAAAAGTGTCATTCGAGCCGCCCATCCTTGTTTATAATCCGAAGAGACATGCCAGTTTATGCTGACTCCACAGTTGTCGCCACATGGCAATGGCTTGGGGATTCGGAAATGGTGAATCGAAGCCCAAGCTTTGGCTTTTACTGACCTGTTGTGGAATGGAACGAGAAGGGCCTCGGGTGGCAAAAGCATTGCCCTTTTATCCGGGTTGCATTGCGTGGTATCTTCACATCCACAGGCACAAGTGTCGCATGGTATGACCGACTTATTGTAGTAAGCCGAGAACGTAACGCAGCATCTAAAGTTACCTGTGGTTGGTCTCGAGATGTTGCAGACAATTTGCCAGCTCGCGATTGCAGGTTTTACAGCCTCGAGACCAGATGGATCAGGGAACTTAAAAGGCTCAACTCTTATAGGTGCCCCACATTTGTAATCCGGATTAAGAACACCCACAATTTTCCACTTTTGAGGAGGGTATATAACTGTTCTATTCAAATCAGGTGGAAGTTTATACACTTGCATTTGGAAAGCTGCTTTTGATTTGGTTCCATCCATGGTGGTCGGCAAAAGGGTACCGTTTTTGCAACAATACGGTACCTTCCCCATCTGCGTGTCGTTCGCTTTCTCCGGCGGTAAGTCGAAAATGATGGGGTTCTTCTGGCAGTTCAAAACGTTGGAAAAATCCATTTGATCGTAGTAAACCCCTGCCTGACCGTTTAAACAGTTTGAAGTATCGAGTTCACGCACATAAGCACCTTTGAGTGTTTCTATAAATTCACCTCTCGTCCATTCCCATGTCAAGTTCCAATGATCGAGTCGCCCCAATGCGTTCTTGTTCTCCATCGTGACCAGCACAAGGTAGTTGTTTACGAACGCTCGTGTCACGTCGTATGCAATCAGAAGGTCACCCTTTTGGCGCGGCAAGAACTTTGTTATTGTTTTATTAGCTTTCAGCTTTTTGTCCTTAACACAACATAAGTACATTGAGGAACCTGTTGGTCAACAACACAAATTAAGAAATCAGTTAGAGTTTTACTCGATTTTAATGTGACACAAATTGATTAAAATATTTGAAAATAATAATAAACTTAGTTTGATTAGAAGTATAAAATTTATTTTTTAGGCTTATATTACAAACAAGTGTTTAAAGCATATCATTTTTTCATTTAAGTACTTAAAATATTTTTTGGTTAAAATAAATACTTAAATTTATTTTTTTGGTCAAAATAAGTACATAAAGTATTCATTTTTTCCAGTTAAGTACTTAAAGTATTCTTTAATTAATGTTATGTGTCAATCCTTTCAGAACTTAGATGAAAAAGATTGAATACTTTAAGTATCTATTTTGACAAAAAATATTTTAGATACCTATTTTGATAAAAAAAAAATACTTTATATATTTATTTTTACCATAAAAACACTTCAGTTACTTAAATGAAAAAAATTAAATATAAATATTTATTTTTGATCTATGCCTTTGTTTGATGTAGAAAATCTATTTAAATAGATTTATAATTTATAAGTTTTATTTGTAATCAAGTTTTTATCTATATAAATGGATATTAAGAGTTAGAATTAAATATTAAATTTTATTTCTTGAAATCGTCTTATATTTTTTTTCTTACTTTGTTTTTGATACTTGTAAATTCATTGTTATCGTCCTTCCATCGTAACAAAGTGAAAGGGGAAGTGTTAAAACAAAGGTAGAAAAAAGGTTTGAAGTACTCACTTTTATGAGTGGGTGAAGGGCATTTGTATCCATCATTTGCAAGTTTGATTGTTTTAGGCATTGGATTCTTAGGTGACCTGAGACCGAACTGCGTGCCTTTGAGTTTAACTTTCGCCTGGATCTTTCGGAAATCATTGGCGGTGTCGATCGATGTTTCGAGATCCGTTTGAGGATATCCTGAGAGGTAAGTTCCGTTGCCGACCGGAGCCGGGAAATCCTCGCTGTTCGTTAAAACGGCGCCGTCTGCCGAGACTAATATCTCCTGGTATTGAAACTTAATGAAGATCTTCCAGGCCTTCAACTCGGTTGTCCCCATGTTCAATATGGTGACGCTGGAGTTGAACGCCCATGATTGAGCTGTTGCATTCTTCTCACGGGGATACTCTTTTTCCCGAGAGATGAAATTGTACATAATGAATATCCCTTTACAACTCTCCTGCCCCTTGGGAAGCGTAGGATGAGAATCGGAACCATCTTCTTGGGATAAACAAAAATGATTTCTTGAATTCAACAGACACAACAACAAGGCCACTACTTTCCTTGAAAATTTCATATCAAAAGGTGGAAACTCAGAGATAAACTATTGGTTTTCTTAGCAAACAGTTGTTGGGTCTTAAAAGATAATTGGAAGTGTAATGGAAAGTGTTGCAGCGTTAAGTGCATATGATAGAGTAAAGAAACGAGGAGGAAGTTGACAGGAAGAAGGTGAAGGAAACGTTGAATCGAAAATTTTGATGCAGCTGGTGGATTTAATGTTGGAATAAGTCAGATGAAACCTCGTCCTCTAAGTTTGCGATGTATTTGGATGCAGCTGATGGAATTAATGTTGGTAATTTTTCCATTTTTTCCAAATTAATGTATTTACATGGCAGATTAAGCTGGCAATTCTCCGTAATTAATGATTAAAATGTTTTACTATTCCCAAGAGATGATGCCTTAACATTTTGACAAGGAAGGGACACATGATTCTATATTAGGGGACGAATTTAAATTTTTAAAATTTAAGAGGATGAAAATAGATTTTCAACAAAATAAAAATCATAGAAAAACTCTAAAATACATACTATTAATTTTAAAATTTCAGGGTGGTCGACTCCCCCCTCGGTCCATCCCTACCTTTTGACATAAAATCCTACCAACTTGTTCTTAATTGGTCTTACATTATTCTTTAATTGTTCTAATCTTATTTTTTTTCTGTAAATAGTTGACTGGTTTTGGTTGATGTTATACGACTTTATGTATGTTTGATCTCATAAATTGTTTATAATTGTTTGATCTCAATTGCGTACATTCACTAAGAGTTTATTCAATCAACTTGTACAATTTGATATGTTTAAGGATCATGTATAATCTTAAAATTTCTCTATCTTTGAAGATAACGTAGACCGCTACAATATCTTTAAGATTTTATACTCAATAACCTTAAATAAACTCCCAAGTGTATTTCGATGGTGTACATTTCCCTAATTAAGAGTAATTTTTCTTCTATTTAGGTTAAGAATGTTTTTAACGAATCTCGTAATTTAGGTGTTATAATTGCGGAGCAAAAAATAAAAATAAACTCCCAAGAAGAGAATAAATTAATAAAAAAAATGTAACTCTAAAAGGTATGGACGTGAAAAATTAATTACTCAAAAAAAATATGACAGCCCAATAAATGTTTACAAATAAGTGATGAAAGAATATAAAAAATGATTTCTTGCATTTTCATCTTTGAAAACTTATCTTTTGGTGTTGAAGTGTTATGAAATCATATTTCTACCTTGTAATTGAATTTTAATTGTTTGAACTTGTTAGAGAGAATAATTAATCATTTAATACGAACTTCTGTTGAAGTCAAACTCAAAGAAGAGTGTAGAAAGCTTAGGTGGTCCCATAAAAATTATAAAATGGCAGCAACTTTTGGAAGCATGCTAATGCTTAAGAACAAAGGAAATAACGTGACAATGCACTAGTATGTCGGAAAAGATTTTTAATGAAAGCAAATGAAGACAAGCAAATATGTTCATCATGTAAGGCGACAATAATAGAGAAATTGAGCAGCTTCTACAATCTTCAATGTCGGTTTATTACATATATATATATATATGTGAGCAAAGCAAGCATGTATACATGTGAGGAAAAGAGTGAATAACGAGTGAGTGAAAGAAATATAAGTGAGGAAAAGTGTGTAGTGAGCAAAAGAAAAATATACGAGAGAAAAAATAGAGAGAATTGAGAGAGCTTATCAAAGCTTAAAATAGTGAGGTTGAGTTTGTAAACTAGCTGCAGCTAGTATTGCAGTATTGTAATATTGAGGTAGTGTCATTGTAAAGTATTTTGTTTTGTATCAATAAAAAGTTCGAGTTATAAATTACAGAGAGCCCATTTACGTTTCCAACAAGTGGCCTCAGAGCTTGGTTCGAGTTTAACGTGGAAGAGAAGATGGTCAACATGATTCAACCACAAATTCTGAGATTGACAAAGACAAATTACGGTAATTTGAGCATTCAAATGAAGGCGTTACTAGGCTCCCAAGATTGTTGGGATATCATCGAGGATGGTTACACCGAGCCTGAAAATGCAACAGCAGAAGCATCCCTGACCAATGAAGAAAAGAATGTATTGAAGAAATCCCCGAAAAAAAGACAAAAGAGCGTTGTTCTTTATTTTTCAAGGAGTAGACGAATCTACCTTTGAAAATATTTCTGATGTGAAGACCGCAAAACAGGCGTGGAAGATTTTGCAAAAATCTCTACAAGGTGCCGAAAAAGCAAAAAATGTACGCTTGCAAACTCTTCGAGCTGAGTTTGAGATGTTGATGATTATTAGCCGTGTGAAAGCGGTCGTAAATGAAATGAAAAGAAATGGAAAATCACTCGATGATGTTAGAGTGATAGAAAAAAATTTACGGTCATTAACAAGAAAATTCGATTACGTGGTGGTGGCAATCGAAGAATCGAAAGATTTATCTCAGATATCGATTGATGAGCTTGTGGGTTCACTTCAAGCCCATGAGCATAAAATGAAACAAAATGAAGATTCAGAAAATTTGGAGCAAGCTCTACAAAGCAAGATGAATGTCAACGAATGAGAAGCTAGCAGCAGCTACACACGAGGTTGAGGAAATCGTGGAGGTTATCGTGGTAGATATATAGGAGGACGAGGAACTCGTGGACGTGGTGGTCGATCATATAGCCTCGATCAAATGAGTGAAAACATTCCAACATCAAGTCGTGGACGAGGATTCAGAGGTCGAGGTAGGGGCAGATATCAACGAAGTAAATTCCATGTACAATGTTATAATTGCAATAAGTATGGTAATTATAGTTATGATTGTAGATCTGCTCCTAAACAAGAAGAAAGAAATAACATAGCAATAGCTCAAGAAGAAAAAATTGAAAAATCTCATGTATTCCTTACTTATAAAGGAAATGAGGAATTTAAGAAAAATATTTGGTATCTTGATAATTGTGCCAGCAACCATATGTGTGGTCAAAGGGAACTATTTGTAAAATTAGATGAAACAGTTCATGGGCGAGTAACGTTCGGAGATGACTCGCACACAGAAATAAAAGGAAAAGGCGAAGTCATGATTACTCAGAGAAATGGAGAAAAGAAATATATTTCAGATGTTTATTATGTACCTGCTTTGAAAAGCAATATCATCAGTCTTGGTCAACTCCTTGAAAAAGGATATGAAGTGCAGATGAAGAACCGCTCGCTTGCCATCAAAAATAAAGAAGGAGAATTGATAGCCCAAGATGATATGACTTGAAATCGTCTCTTTACAATTGATATCGAGTCGGGAGAAGTCAAGTGCATGAAGACTGCGATCAAAGATGATTCATGGTTGTGGAATCTAAGATATGGACATCTTGGATTTTCTGGTTTGAAGCTGTTATAAAAAACAAGCATGGTGAAAGGACTACCAGAGATCAACCCTCCAAATCAATTATGTGAGGCTTGCATCAATGGAAAACAACACCATCACTTAGCGATAATAGGTACTACCTAACTTTCATTGATGATTTTAGTAGAAAATGTTGGATTTATATCTTGAAAGAAAAGTTAGAAGCGCTGGAAAAATTGAAAGAATTTAAAGCAATGGCGGAAAAACAAAGCAGTCAATATTTGAAGATACTCAGATCAGATGGAGGAGGCGAATATACATCAAAGTTATTTGAAGAATTATGCAAAGAGCATGGCATCATCCATCAGCTGACAGCCAGATACATGCCACAACAAAATGGAGTTGCAGAAAGAAAGAACCGCACAATCCTGGACATGGCAAGAAGCATGATAAAAGGTAAGCAATTACCGAGAAATTTATGGGCTGAAGCAGTTCGATGTGCAGTTTACCTATTGAACAGATGTCCAACAAAAGTGTGAAGTATATGACGCCAAACGAAGCATGGAGTGGACAGAAACCAGGAGTTAGACACCTCAAAATTTTTGGATGCATCGCATATGCCCACGTTCCTAAACAGACCAGAAAGAAGCTTAAAGACAGAGGAGAAAAATGTATTTTCATTGCCTATGATGAAAGGAGCAAAGCCTGCAAATTATAAAATCCTCTTACCAAGAAGATAATAATTTCAAGAGATGTCGAGTTCAATGAAGCAGAATATTGGAGATGGAGCAAAGAGGAAAAGAAAGTTGAAGGAATATTTTTTAAAGATGATGATCTTATCAATCAAGATGAACAAGCTGATGATCAAGGTCCTCAACAAAATGTACCATCGTCCTCAAGCAACAGCAGCGATGCCAGTAACATAATAGAAGATCCTGAAGCACCTCCCACAGAACTTCGAAGATCCACAAGAGAGAGAAGAATGCCAGAAAGGTACAACGATTATGAACTAAATAATGTTTCACTTTTCTGCTTGCTTGTGAACAGTGATCCAATAACATATGAAGAAGCAGTTGAAGATGACAAATGGAGGAATGCAATGGATGAAGAAATTGCATCAATAGAAAGAAATGATACATGGGAACTAACAAGACAACCAGAAGGCCATAACCCAATTAGAGTAAAATGGGTTTACAGGACAAAAACCAATAAAGAAGGAAAGGTCGAGAAGCACAAAGCGATGCTAGTTGTCAAAGGCTATAAGCAAAGACATGGAATAGACTATGATGAAGTATTTGCTCCAGTAGCAAGGATCGAGACCATCAGACTTCTCACAGCAGTAGCAGCACAAAAAGGATGGAAAATTTATCAAATGGATGTGAAGTCGGCATTTCTAAATGGCTACCTAGAAGAAGAAGTTTATATTGAGCAACCACCTGGATACATTAAAAATTGACATGAAGACAAAGTTTGCATATTGAAGAAAGCTCTATATGGTTTGAAGCAAGCCCCGAGAGCATGGAACACGAAGATTGATGAATATTTCCAGAGAAATGGGTTCATGAAGAGTCTATCCGACATTGTTTAAAAGCATCGTTGGAAGTCTAAGGTATCTGACTATCACACGACCAGACATAACATACGTTGTGGGATTGATAAGCAGATTCATGGAGAATCCGAAACAAGATCATTGGATTGCAGCAAAAAGAATCCTCAGATAT